AATTACGGTGCCCCACAATAAATATTTCGGTACCAGTCGCCCAAAGGGCCGAAGGGCACAACATTATTGTTATGACTCTGGAATGAAGCGCATCTTAAGAATGAGTGTGTGGTGTCCTTTGAAATTGGGGTACCTCTTAAAAATAACGGTTCTGATGCCCCGAAATGAAGTCTTTGGCGATCCTTCGAGGCATTGGCCGACGCAGGGCTTCGTGAAGGAACTCAGCACAGGCATTGCGGTCCCCCTGGAATTCGGTGATCAAAAAATGCAGGTCTGGGGCCCTTTGTCGTACCCACGCATTTGGTACCTCCTGGAAATAAAGTTGCGTGATTTCGAAAGGCAGATTTTGGTGCCCCTTAACCAAGAGCTTTGGTGCCCCAAAGGGACACCCAAACCCCTTGGAGTCTTGACCTTATCGCTCAAGGAGGGGCCAATGGCCCTATGCCCCCCTCCCTTCCGGACACGGCCGTGCTGAGAATGATCCAAGGCAAAAACGCCCATCACTGCGACCTCTGGCACAGCATCTAGAAAGGTTCCTCATTAACAGACAAGCGCGTTGTAACCGGTAGAAGTAAAAGCTTATAATTGTCACCAGCGATAGCTAACACGTTTCTATGACAGAGAATGGTCTCTAATGAAAGCTTTTGCACATCGGGAGTTTTAAGAAATAACGGCCGCTTCTTTTGGACTGCACCTCGAACACATTAAGGTGTGTCATAAAGTTGGTGAGAGGAAGGCAGGTGCCCCCGGGAACTACCATGTATGTAAGTCCCAGCGCGATAAATTCCTGGTTACAGATGAAGCTTAAAGAGCTATGAGTCCCTACAACTCCCTTCGGAAACGTGACCTGCCTCTCAGTCACGTGGAGACGCAACGTCCTTAACTATGTCGATCAGCCCATTGCCGACATGCCTACTTTACAGCGACATCATAAACCAAGCTGGCGCAATGTACAGAGAGCCAATAAAGAAGCCGAGGTCTGCATCAGTCACGCCAACTCTGGTCACTACGAAACACATCAGAATGTGCGTCACTCGCGAAGATCAAACGATCGCTGGACAACGCTATCGCGGTCGACCGGCTCGGCCCCCTCAGCCGTGAGTCTGCTGCTGCTGATGACGCCAATATGACGGCGCCTTTGGGAGCAACTGGCGCTGGCGAGGTCAAAGAGCCAGCACGGCCAGCAGCGGCGCTGTCAGAGATGCAGAACGCGCCGGGACGAGGTGCTGGCCAATGTCGACGACTCGACCGGCCGACGCGCCTGCCGGATGTCACGACCGCCCAGCGGGGGGGGGGGGGGGCCTGATGCTGAGGTGGTCCAGGCCGCTGACCTGATATTCCTGGGTGGTGGCCAGTTTGCCAGGATTAACTGCGGCCCTGCATGCTGCACTAGACCCCACAGGCATCCCGTTCGTGGTCGTCCTATTGCCCTTTGGTAACGCCAGCTGGTATTATCGTGCCGTGACAGGCCATTTTCTTGGTTAGACGTGCTTTCTGCTGCCGTCTTATGCCGGCCTTGTTTCATTTCTGTGTGCCCTACTTGTGGTGCCATGGAGGGGGGGGGGGGGGGGGTGAGGAAGGCGTTCCTATCCATGCCTTTTTCCTGTAAATCGGCCCTTTCTCGTTTGACGAAAGTTTTGTGCGAATGTTTTGTGCAGTCTCCTTTTGTACTACCCAAGGTCAGGTAAAAAACGTGGTACATAAAAATATCATGCTATTGGTGCTGCATTGGGTACGCATACTAGTATGCTATTTACCTACCATAAGAGTTCGAACGAACATTATGTTAGCTCCCTATTTAGACGTAAGGGGTCGGTATTCTGTATCAGTAAGACGTACTTGAAAGGTGTAAGCCGTAAGAATATTAAGGCAAGGGGCTGATCACGAGCAGGGAGCTTGATAACCAGCAGGGAGCTCGAGAAGGTTTTAAGTGATCGAATATGGAAAGACATGAGACTTCATTATAAAATTAGCAGCTGAAAAGCCGAAACACAGCCAGGCCCGGTCACCCCTGATCAATGTTTCATACGGCTTTCAGGAACACTAATGTATTTCTTTTAAGTATGCGTGGTGTTATGCTATTTACAATTGTATTCATGCTGTTTGGGCGGCGCTGATTTTCTTCCAGTTTGACAATCTAAACTAAATATGTAGCCTTTCTCATGCGAGCAGCTTAAGAAAGGTATAATTTGGCATTCGCAACAAAATGACGGAGCAGGCCGAAACCTGACCCAGCCCTCCACAGCCCATCATCACATTGCAAAACATTTTACTGAGGAGAGAGTGGAAAGTCATTCTGCCAACAGTATGTTCGATATCGGCATCCGGTCACAAGCTTTTGAATACCATTGCCATGGATGGATCCGCCGGTTTGGGGCACAGCCAAGGACCGGACCGTTATGGAACGCTTTTAAGGGCTGATGGCAGCTCGTTGCAGCCAGAGCAGATAAGACTGAGCTAAGTGTAAGTGTACAATTTCAATTGGCTAGGGATCTCAAACACCGTTCGACCTGCGGATGCGTCGAAGTGACCTGGAAGCAGCCGACGTCATTTTCCCCGAAGTCGTTTCCGAAGTTACAACGCTCTGTCTTGGGCCCCCTCAGCCTTGCCCCTCCAAAACCTGTAGGTACATTTGTATAGCCCATTTATTGTGATTAATACCTAACCAAAATTGTTGACCTTTCGTGGTATTTTGAACGCAATGGCTAAAAGCAATAACCATACAACGGTACCGATTTCGTCGATTGAACTTGTCGTGCCCACTGGCCATATCTACCAGCCTGTCAATTGCTATACATGCTTTTTAAATTTAAAGCACCTACATCGCATCAGCTAATCTCCGCCTGCTAAACATCCATCAATGCGAGCTTTTCAGCCGAATCATTAAAACTTACAGGATCGGTGTCTTACTTCATTACATTTTGTTTTGTATTCTAAGAAGGTGAAATTTTTGGCAAGCAAAATAAAAAAACGCGATATCGCTTTCGGCATTTAACTGGAGAAGACGAACAATCGTATTTTGCTCCGCTTCTCAGGTAACCACAGACCACCAAAGCCTGTTACAAAAATATTTTCTTGCCAAATTGCATTCTGACGACAAGATACTTGATGAGGTTTCTTTTGGCAAAGCTGACGCAACTGGGCATTTATGTGCATATATCACCGATAATTGGCAACCTAATTAAAGAGAACTTTGAATTATCCCACTAAGCTAATTGGCCAAGGCTTCAACAGAGCGCACCTTTTAAGCCAATTAAACAATTACTATTGCTATTCTTAACCCACATTTGAGGAAACCACCAACGTTTAGAGCAACAATGAAATGAAGCTGCAGATAACGCCGCTACTGTTACTCTCATTTTCACCTTTTGTTCATCAAACCCAGTCCAGTAGTGTCGAGACTGCATATAGTAGAATTTATGTCATTTACTTACCGTCTCCCTCACTACGTGGGGTACTAATACAATAGTAAACAACTCAAATGGCAAGTCAAAGAAGATAAATCTTCCGCAACGTTGATGGTACTTGCGTTATGCCTGATGGCTATCTTGTGTGTACAGAAACACCATGGAAAACCGCTGACGCCCCTCAGCGGTCATATTTGGTCGCTTTTTGTGCTCACAAGAGTTCCGTGCCAGGAAGTTGTCATCTCAGGACACGCAAGGCTAACACGCGCTCAGGTGCGGGTTCAAATTGAACCGCCCGAAGATTTTTCCAGGATGGTTTCCGAACAGCGCGGAGTAGTCGCACCAAATTTCGCATAGCTATAGAAAATTGAATAACGGATCGTTTGGTGTCACAAATTAGATGTACCTTGTAAGGTCGCTAACCTATGCCAGGTCAAACTCAGGCCCTGGTTTCAGCGAAGTCAATTTTTAGGAAATCGTTCAATCTGATGCAACAACGGAGTATTAGATGAAGCCATACATCTCTGATATGGTTTCTTACGCAACAAAACAGTTGAATGAACAAATTACATTAACCTAAGGTCAGGTATGAAGGTCAGACCGAGGTCAAAACCAACCTGTTTTATTACTGTAGGGCTTGCTGTATGGGATAGCTTCCGATGCTCATTTCGAATTTATTGATAGCAGACACCACATTTTACATCTTCCATGTACTTATTAGAGGTCAGAATAGGTCAATGACCTAAAATGACTCAGGTCAGCATTTTGTTTTTAGGAACATACTGCCTATGCAAAACTCGCAGCAGTTTTGTATGATTTCGATCACCATGACCTTCAAAAGGTCAAACAAGGTCACTGACCCTTAATAAGCATGTGGAATTTTGCTTAGAAACAGCAACCTACGTTCTGGGGGGCAATTTGGAGACCAACCTGAAATTTGACCTTGTTTGACCTTATTTGACCCAGAAGATCATGACCTAGGAACCTCAAACTTTGACATAAGTGAGCTCACGTACAGGTCAAATACCCTGTAAATTTGGTATTTGTAGCTCTCTTAGTTTCCGACATCTCAGGGGGATCAAGTTGGCCCCTCACCCGAACGAAGGGTATCCAGCCGGCCACCCGGGCGCGTGTTAATTATGATTTTACACGAGGAGATCCTCCGGTAAAACCGCTCTAAAATTTACTTCCCCTAATTAGGCGGTATCAAAATCATGCATTTCTCATGGAAAAATGTCAGCGAATCATTGACAACGACGAGATCATCCAATTTCACTGTGGTCCAACGCAATGTTCAGATTAGCAGGCAACGCAAATAAAATATAAACCGCTTGAATCAACACAATCGGTTTGCTTCTCTGTGATGCAAGGAGGTGGCTCAAGTTTGCATGGATCCCCGTCAGACAGAGGAGGCTGGCACGTGCAAATAGCCGCCAATCAAGGCAACCCACCAATGTCATTCGATTGTAATCGACTCTTTCCCAAAACAGGTGACCATTTCATTCCAGCACGAGGCCCTGCAAAAACGCAATGGACTTTTATCATGCGTGCCAGCGTAGCGCTTTTTTGTTTACACGCATTTGGTGCCTTGTCATTTTATCTATGCAGCACTAAGCCCCGATTGCCGAAGCAATCGACTTGTTTTTGGAAGGTCAAATCGTAGATCCGCAAGTCTTGTCAGACCACTTGTGAACGGATGAGTTATCTACCCTGACGAACAACAGCCATGGATAGCGCAACCTCAAGGCCTGAGAAGGCCGTGCTCTCGATCATCATCAGAAGCGGCAGGAATTGGGTACGCAACACTGTCACAAATTCGCTCTCATGGTAATACTGTATCGTGTTGCATGGCAACTTTGCATGACATTTCATACCCTCTTTTAACTGACATCGACTGCGATATCGAGTGGATTATTTCATAAGTGTTGATGGTCAGCACGAGTTTACCCGATCATTGTGTTGTCTGGTTACCCAGCACCTAAAGGTTACTCTCCCGTGCCGTTCAGAAAAACCAAAAAGGAGAACCGCTTCAGCCGTGCGTCTTGAGATGCGAGTACGGCGATGGAGTCACCATCGGCGAGTCGCCGAAGGTCGCAGTTGATGCCAACGGCTGCGCGGATATCGACTTCACGACCACCATCGCCATCGATCAGGAAGTAGCAGATTGGAACCAGATGGCTAACACCCCGCTCGTGCGTGAGTTCCTCGGGACTCAGTCATTTTTTTTTTAGGTTTAGTCGGACCTTTGTATTGGATGTATTTCTGGGATTAGCGCTCTGCTTCACACCATTTGTTCGGTCAGCCTTACTCCATCACCCGATCACGAAATTCTGAGTTAACGGCAGAATTTTGCGGCAAAACGAAAGCTCAACGTGCTTAAATGTTCGGCACGGTCCATCCCACCGCCTTTGACGTTGTCGGACATTAAGTTCGGCTGCTGCCAACAGCCGCAAGTCATTGGAGTCACTAAAGTAAGAGTGACTGAAGATTACATTACGAGTGAATCAAGCAACTCGAATCCAGCACACCAGAGGCGCGTAAATCAGGCGGTAGGCGCTCTTACCAAATAAGTTATCGGGACACGTGGACAGTCAGCTCAGCTTCTGGCGGCGAGTTATTTTTTTGTTATTCGTTGCCTGGAATGGGCAGGCTTAGATGCGAGTGCGTGAGGGTGCATCAAAACTAGATACTGGGAGAAAACGGGAGATAAGGCAACAGGTGCACGCCGAAAGGGATTGAAGATATCAACAAGCTTGACTTTTTAGTTTCTGGAGGGCAAAGAGCATTGCGTTGCTAAACAAATAGCTTTATAACCACAGCCAAAACCGATCAGTCTAGAAATTCGAGAAGATACAAACGGCCTGACGCTCCATGCAAATCCTAGATGCTCTTGCTACGTTATCAGTTTTTAAGCACAGGCGATCCTGACTAACTGAATCGAACCAGGCAGTATTTATTTTGATTGCTGAATATCTTGTGACGTGCTCTGTCCGCACATTCCTTTGCAATAGCTCGCGGCAATAACTAGTGCACTTACACTGTCTTCATGCAGTTCTCCTCATGGAGTCTTCTGTCAAAGAATCCAGGAAAAAGAAGAGCCCCAGTTTCAACAAAGTCGGAGTGGCTACTATTGACCTACTTCCTCTCCTCTTCGGTAAGTGCACCAACCTCGCAACCTAATACAGTTAAATCATTTTGTTTGGGCAAACGCATGATTGCATTCAGCCCCCCCCCCCCCAACAACTGACACGAAGCCCCCACCGTGTTCCCGCCACGTCGTGCGCTGTGTCGGATGCGCTAAACTAAGAGGGAAAGGAATATCACTTTGTATGCTTTGGGGACGCTGCAACCGCCCGGGTGGTTTCAGATCTTAAAAGCAAACCTGTTGCCATGCATGCTTGGAAAGACATGTTTAATAACTTCCATAATCTACCTGATAGGGGCCGGTTAACTGCCGAGCGCGTGCCTCAAATATTTCCGAAAAATATAACACCGTGCACTGGACGCTTCAGCTCATATCACTATCGCTTCTCACTCACCTAACTGATGTGGCCATGATGACCAATGTCGAGTTCCTGCCACGGTTGTGGATTTCTCAAAATGATGGGGGGGGGGGGCAGAGCCGTGGAAGTTGCCATGAAAGGACAGGTACCAACATCTGCTTCGGATTTCGTTCGCGTATGCTCTGGCTCCCACTAGGAATAACGATATGCATATATATATATATATATATATATATATATATATATATATATATATATATATATAAATACATATATATATATATATATATATATATATATATATGCATATATGTATATACATATCATATTTGTATGCGCAATAAATTGTAATATCTATATAAAATGTGCGTAACAAAACATCATCTATATATAATGTTCATAATACATGTATACACACATATATATATATATATATATATATATATATATATATATATATATATATATATATAGCGTACACCTGCAACATGCTTTTTTGAAGCTCACATGCGTGGTCAGAACGACCACATATGGAAACCTTGCAGTTGGCATCAGCTTCTTAAAAACGGACTTGTTTTGTGAAGCTAAAGGGTGTGAAGCTGTTTTGTGAAGCTTCACTTCTATCTTGCATACCGGAAGGTGAAAACGGCTCACAATTTACCATGATGAGCCTTAGTAAGTTCTTGCGCATCTATTTGCATATTCGCAAGAAAAGTGTCCACAATATATGCAGCCATCACAAATAGCGTGCAGCACAGATTCTCGGCATACCATAACGTTGCCGATAAGCGATATGCCTTTCAGTCAGCGGTGTTACGTTATTTACGTTCGGAGGGAAGCTTGAGCCCCCCCAAAAAAAATTCAAATAGCATCATGCAGGTACCCGGCGTTTCTATCATGGAAACTCCTTCATATGTTAAAGAACTCTGCAAATGTTTGACAAGTTTTTTTCAAACCATAACGCCCGTATTAGTATGCAGGACAATTGCCTGCAACGTGCCGCAGCTTTTAAAAGTACAAGGTGGCTCAGATAAAAGTGAACTCACGTTTTCCCTCACGGTGGTAAGCGTGTTTGCGACAATCGGAGCTAGCAACAACACGATCAGCGAGAGAGATAGTCATCAGTGATCCAGTGCTAGAGTTTAATACGATATTTCTCTGTGAATAGGTCACCCCACTCTAAGCTTTTCACAAAAAGGTAACTCACGTTTACTTGAAATTAAAAGTCATTCATCCGCAGGAAATAACCTTGGATAAAGAAAACTTTTCAATTTCAATATCGAGGATGCAAACCCAAGTGGCTGAAATCCGGTGAGAAACCAAGTTTTGGGTTGGGTCAGGTCAACCTTTCTGGCTGCCCCCCCCCCCCTCCCGCAATCGATTTTAGAAACTGACACCTATAAATTCAGTCAATCAAAAAGAAAACGTCAACACCATCCCACCAATCATTTCGGAGATCCTCAGCGATTTCCCACACATATGTAGGCGGAGAGGCCACCCTGCTGAGAGTGCCCTCCCTGCTTGGCTACAATAATACGCATCGTGAGCCTCCTGCACTTCTGGAATACTTTGTTCCCAGCTGTTGTGCTTCGGAACGAAAATCGAACTTCATCCGCTTCAGTTCGAAGGTGATGGGAATGAAATGCCTGTCATTCCAATGTTACGCGCAACGTAGATTGATTGTAGCAACGTTTCTAGTTGAGCTGGCTCTTCAGTGAACATCTGATCATGATGATGTGCGCATACTCGGTGCTCAATCAGTTCACCCACACCTAACCACTATCAGGGTCTTGGTATTAAGGCGTGGGGGGGGGGGGCAGGGGTTTAACCAAGGGTGAAAAGGTGAAATGGTGGAAAGCATTCTGGTCAAAGGCCTCACCAAAACAATTGCCAGTATGACCGTCTTGATTTCGAGAGACACGATTTTTTTCCTATATTTCTTTGAAATAATAGTTTCACTTGAAGGAGAAGCTGGAAAGTGCTGAAGGATATGGTTCTGTTGGCATTTGGAGTGAATAAACTGAGGGCACCATGCGTTAATGACTGTATGGAATAAGTGCCGGCGCTTTTCACTTTACTCCGGTTCAGTAGATTATTTTTAAGCCGTTGGCTCTCAGGGACTTTGTTCGGATTTTTGCTGGTTTGCCCAGAGACATTGGATCTGTTCCCGTCGCTCCTCTAACATCCACTAACCTCATCAAAGCTTCTCTAAACTTTGATAGCTCCCGTGGCTCCTTCAACCTCCTCCACGCTCCTCAAACTTCGCCTCGAACCCCCTCCAATCTCTCCGAAATGAAAGGTGGTTTTTCGGAGGAATTTGAAGGAAGCTGTGTTAGACATAGGTGGCTCAGTTCATTCATATCTCCATTTTTTTTTGTCACAAAACAGAAGCAAAGGACGGGTGTATACATTGGTGCAGGTAGATTAAATTTCGAGTCTGTTTTAGTTTTGTGTTCAACGTTATTCTTATGCATATTTACAATTTTGAAGATATATTGCTCAGTAAACTCAATGTTCAATATCATTCGCCATCAGCGCGCCAAAACTGTATGGTTGAATTGCTTGGAGACAGCTGACACCCATATCCTCCAAAAGCATTCCTGTGGAGGCAAATTTGACAAATGTTCAGCGCTCCTCCATCCCCCTCCAAACTAATATAATCTTTTTTGGAGGAACGACAAGAACTGCTCCATTGTGAGTGTAGATGATAGTGAACATAGATTGTAGATCGACACGGCGCTGGCATGACCAATCCATGTTCGTATGGAAATAATCAACCTTCATTCAAAAACAGAAAAGTTGAAGAATCACATAACTTTGGTCAAACAATCACATTTTTACCATGCGTGCTTGTAAGTCTAAGAAACAAAAACTCCGATGCCAGGCGTTGCAGCGCTCTCAAACCCCATCTCGTCAGCCCCACGGCTAGCATTTGCCAACGACCAGTGGGCGACCGAAAATGAAAGCGTTTCGGACAGAAGCAAGTAAAGTTACCAAAATTTTGACCTTGCAATGCTAACCACCGCACGCATGTTAACGGACATATGTTTTTTTAATACTGAAAGCCAAATTAGCTTGGCCGCTATTATTGCAGCTTCGAGCATATCTCAGGATGCAAGATATCGGTCGTCACCATCTTGAATAATAGCGAAGTTCCTGAACTAGATGACATAGGTTGTCGAACAATATCTCTTCGTAAGGGCTATCATGGGTGGGGTGTCCAGTCATGGGTTTAGCATTGGTCCACACGCCAAGTTAGGGGAGACACATCAACCTCAGAGAAGGCCTTTGACGTGCAGTGTCACATCTAAAGAGACTTTGAGCGCAATACTACCAGCTAGCACCCGTCACAGTCCTTTACTCCTTTTCGTAGTCGTCATCACCACATACATCTAGCTCCCCGCCGTTGTCTTTGATGTCCATCCGCTTGCTGGTACAACGACTATAACATGCAAGTCCTCCCTAACACTTGCAGCAGACTGTACGCCAAGGGCCTGCTTTGTGGCTCTTAAAGCTGCAGCGTGCAACACTGCATGAGCTGCTTTCTGCGGTGTAGCTGCAGGTCACTACATCCAGGAGTGCTTCGGGAGTAACTGCCATTGTTGAGACGGCCGCTACGGTGGCGGAGACTTCGACACTGTGACCGACGTTGACAATATCTCCAGCTTCTCTTCTTCGGTGGGGGAGGGGGAGGCGGAGCTCACGAGGCAGCTTCTTCAGGAGGGGGGGGGGGGGGGGCTATGAATGTAATGGGCCAATGGAGTCCCCAAACTTTCGGTCAGCTCTTTTGTGGTCCCAAAACTGACCGGACGACGCGGTACAGCAGCCGTCCGAGATCAACGAGTGTCTCCAGGAGTGCGCACCCGCCTGAAGCTCCTCCTCGGTACGCTGGCGAAGATGCTCCATCTCTCCCACGTGTTAGCTCAGTCAGCGCGCACGATTGTGGTGACCTGCCACAAGGGAATATGTCAACATTGACTGGAGACAGTTCTGCTGAAATAAAGTGCTGTTCCGCCCTCTGCGCAAGAGCATGAGCGCCAGCAGCGTAGGCTTGAGCTTATTTGTATGTATTTGTCATACATATACATATATATATATATATATATATATATATATATATATATATATATATATATATATATATATATATATATATATATATATATATATATATATATATATATATGCATATATGCATATATACTTAATTTTACTTATACGTTTCTGGTCAGATGCTCTTTGGCTACCTCCAGATAGACCCTCAGTTCCTGGCATGTTTTGGTGCTTTTCGAGTACAACCTCTGCAGCCAAATGGCTACTGTGAGGTGTCCCCTACCAGACCCACATACTAGATTATGCAGCTGCAGCGCTATAAGGGACCTTCCAATCTGGACGCACCTCAGCTCTCAACAAGGCTCTGCTCGCTGAGGAGCCACGGATACATTCCACTGCCGTCAGATTCAGTCTGCAGTGAAACACGGCATGACTGTCGAAAGTCCACCAGACTGAACAGCCGGCCGGTTGAACGGGTTCCAATGCTCAGCAAGACTGACTGGTGGCGGGCTCTGCCCTGAAGTTCAAGACACTGGTGGTGTTCGGGCCGATGGTCGACTAGTTATTTGACAGTCAGACACCCCTGTGTCTATGTTTTTGGGTCTCGAAAGGACTCTCAATGCGATCGGGATGCAGCACACTTATCCTAAAGCCGACCTCCACTTGCATCAGACTCCATATCTAATCTAATCCAACGACCCTCAGCACCAGACCAACCCCATATTTTACTCACACGGTCATAATGCATCCCCTCATGAGTGTCCTGCACTGTGCGGAGACACTGCTTAGGGGATCTGTCGTGAACGTAACTATGAGCACCGCGTTTGGTGGCGACATCATCAGCAAGACAAACGGGAAGGCCTGGAGAAACGCCTTAAGGGCATACCGCCTCACTATCGCCTTGCTGCTGCATTTCTTCTACTTAATGCTAACGGGTCATCTCAGGAGCTGAGCGACTACGTACAGTCAGCCCGAGAGCACTCGACCGGGAGCACGTCGGCAGGCTCTTTGGTGGAGGAACCAATCATGGGTATAGCACAAACACTAATGTAACAAGGGTCATGGTATCTAACATCACCAGGATGCAGATCAACCACCCCACTGAGATCACTCGAGCCCCAGAGGCTCTCTAACTGATATACTATGTTTGCTTGTACGTAATTTTACCATCCGAACGATCTTATGCTGTTTGACCTGTACCCAGCTGCGTTGGTCTAGCTGTCCTTCGCATTACACTGTTTTCTAGATAGCAGACAATCTCGCATGAAATCAAAGTCACTACAGTTGGACTTAGCAGCCTTTTGGGAATCACTTCATGAGCCCGCGAAGACTTCCTTGTTTCATTGTTTCCACTCCTCGATATATAGTTAAAGTAACATGATTTGTTAGCTAAAATATCGCGTCTTGGCAGAGTTGCATGCCACTCATAGCGTATCGTTTCGCAGCGACGGGTTTCTGAATGGATACTATAGAACATCCTTCAATACATGTCTATGTATGCATTATAGTCTCCTATAAACATGCGTCGTGTTCATAAGACATCATTACATATGGACATGATTTATAACACATACAGCTGGTGCGAGTCGTGCTCTTACGATGACAACAAAAAACGTAAAAAACGGCATATATCGATCAACATAGAGAAGGTCGGTGATTTATAACAAATTTGAACCTTGACTTTTGCTTTGACCTTGACTTTGACGGCAAACATAATAAAAATGGCCGAAATCCGCATAACAAAATACATATCACACAACCCTCCAGGTCGTCGAGATGAAACTTGAAACCTGGACCAACATTCAAGATGACAGCGGCCGCCATTTTGAATTATGAGAAAGATTCGAAGTCGCACAAGTTGCAATCAAGCTAATTTAGCTCTCTTAGGTATATAAATATAGTAACAATAGAAGATTTCCGCCACACTTCGCGGTAGTTTACATTGCATGGTCCCAAATAAGAAGCATAATGATGACAACTCGACTACACGTACCCATCCCAAATGGGATGCGTCATCTGTAGCGCATGCCTAATGCATGCGTGTTGCACATGCTAATATTATTACAGTGCATAACTCACGCAGATTCTGTGAGTGGTATCCTTACAATGAATACGAGAATACAACGAACGGCACATATCGATCGATTTAGGGGATTTTGGCAATTCGTGATCAGGTTTGACATTTTGACATTGACTTTGACCACATACATTGCAAATAACTACACAGATGGACTTCCTGTCATAGAAGACACCTAAAAACCGGTGTCATAAGACCCTCAAAGTCAACGAGAAAAAAACAACACTGAAACTGGACCAACATCCAAGATGGCGGCGGCTGCCATCTTGACTTGCGAGAAATGCTCAAAGTTGCACGAGTAACAACCAAGCTAATTTAGATCTCCTAGGTACATAGAACATATTTTCATGAAAAAAGTTCACGGTAGTCGACAATGCAGGGTCCCATACAGAAAGCATGATAACGGCAACTCAGCTAGTGTTTAGGACATCAATTTTTTGGTTTAAAAAGGCCTGGAAATATGTTTCACCCATGCGATTTACATATGCATGTTAGAGACGGATTATCATTCACAGTCCCGCGAACCGGTGGTGGATGGTGGTGGAGTTAAGACAGGTAAAGGCAGAATCTCTATTTTCGTGTTTCTGTCGCTGTTGATTTGTTCAGAGCACAGCCTCAAAATTGCACAGGTGAAACGCATGCCATGGTATGATTTTTGACGGACGAATTTACTTTAAAGACCTTCCGAAGCATTATTTTACAATGCCTGTTCTCGCTCGCCAGGCGCCCACTGCCCGGTGTTAGCTGTAGCGGCCAACGCCGCTCGGTTTGATGGGAACGGCATCACCGGCCATCGGTGTTCCCGTATGCGTAGATCGTCGTGAGATATGCCTTACTTGAGGCGTGGAGTATTCCGTTCAGACGGCATCTACACCTGGCACAACCTCCCAGCTCGGGAACCATTGAACAGAGAGCTCCTGAGAGCCATGGCAAAACGCCGTCGCCTCCGGTGCGACACCTTTGGCACTGGTGCGTAATGACGTAAAAAAGCTGTCACTGTTCACATCCTCCCTTCTCCGAGAAGCAAAAACAAAACAGACACCGCACAACTCGGTCGCACAAAAGCATTGGCGCTGACAGGTCTAAACATATATCGGACACTCCAGTGGCCGCGAGACACGAGATGGCAGGAGTGGCCATGACGGCCGCTACTCTGCGAAATTGGAATGATCAGCGTTGCGTAAAGAGTGTAAGTTGATACGCGTGACTATTAAAGGCGTCTATGGATCCCGTGACTGGTAACCGCAAACCGGTTTCGTCGGCTGGTGTACTTCGTCAAGTGGTCATCACTGTCCCAACAATGATTCACTTCAAAGTGTAAGCTGACACATTTCGAGGACTTTTCCGAACGCAGACAGTAAATATATCGGCCACGTTCTTTGGTCGCTAATATACAACTGGCTTGTTTCCATCTTCCGGTGAGACGTCGTGGCAAAATAGCGCCGCTTGCTGTACTCAGTGAACTTGTTTGCACAAACAAGATCAAAGTCAACAAGGCATCTAGGTCCCGTAATTAAAAACACACAACATGCAGGACAATCAGAAAGCAATAAACACGGCACCGACGCGGACCTTTAAAAGTGATTAGCTCAGGCACCCGCACTCGGCTGAACACGATATCGCAGTTTTCAGTTTCTTTGTTCCTCTCACCCGTAAAGCTAGTGTTAGTAATCTTCTTTAAATTGATGTATTTAGAGCTCCAATTTTAACGTTTTACATACATATTGGGTCCGGAGAGATGGGGGTGGCAGATTGACTGTTGGAGGGAAAGTAGGATTTGGAGGGGGGGGGGTCGGTGTCACCGCCAAAGGAATAACAATCGACACCCGTGGTTCCTGGGGCGAAGGGTAGGGGAGAACGGGGAAGCGACGCACGTCGTCAGGAGGTCGAGGAACCGGAGACCGACGGGCTACAGGCTGTCACGCCTCGATCGGGCTGCTGGGAAATGCATATTGTGACCATGCCGCTAAACGGTCGCATGCTGTCCATCATCATTGTTTTGTTAATAGCAGATGACAGGCCGCTACATGGTTCGGGACATGTGGTCCATCAAACGAGCATTTTTACTTTGTGGGGGTGGATCATTTATAAAACTCTTATTGCCATCAGAGCATCTCTGCCATTCACAGACGGTAGGCCGCTTCCGGATATTGGGGCTTCCAAACAAGTTATTTTTTGCTTCGACTGCTATCAGACCATGCTCATTGCTGAAAGCAGCTTTTCAACCCCGGAAATCCCAAAAATCTTAGCTAATGCGACTCCTGCGCTCTGTCTTCGGCCGTGACGCTGCAGAATAGGTTCCACTGGTGACGACCACCGCGTTCCTGTGTGCTTTCTGGAGGACTCGTAAACTTGTCAAGACATTGTACTGCAGAGCCATTGTGGCATAAGGAGAAACGCAGAAAGTACAGCACTAATAGTATTGTTCCTTGTAGAACAACCACGAGAATGGGGAGATAAATGCATTGATATTTCGGTCAAATGCCTGGGCTACAGCCAACGAAACGAATATGGGATAAATATGGTATGAAACGAATAGGATACTCGCTTCGATAAAGACATGTAGCCGAAATATGGGCACATGTATCCCCCCATTATCCCAATTATTCTACGAGGACTAAGACTATAAGTGCTGTCCTATCTGCATGCATAATGCTCCTCGCAAATGCACTTGGCAACTTAGGTATGGAGAAACTCCCGAAAGATGGAAAGATACAAAATGAGAAAGGACGCTTTGTCGCATCATTTTCGACAATAAACTAAAAATCGATGTTTTCGTAGGCCAATCTCTTAACTTTCCATCCGGCACCCCATTACCCCAAGCACTCCAGCAGCCATGTCCTATGTTCTGTGGTCGCTTTCCCCTTCCAGACCCTCCTCACCCCTCCCCCCCCCCCTCACCCTCTCCTGCCCCCACTAAACCAGATCGGCATGGTCGCGTCCGCCCTCAGAGCCGGCCACCGGCGAACAGTGGCACAGGTTCGCGCCCGCGGACCACGTGCTGCCCGACTCTGAGCGCGGCCTGCTGCAGATGCCCGAGGCGGCGGTATGCTTCGAGACCAGCGCACCGCTCATCCCCGACAATGTGATCGGCGTGAGTGACGTCACGTTGGCCTGCCCCCGGGGCGCGCGGCCGCCGGGACGGCCCCGCCGCCCGGTCGATATGGTGGGAGGGTCTTCTGTCATGTTGGTGATTCTGCGGCATGGCGTTACCGCCATTTTTGCGTTGCATTCTTACTTACCGTATATTTTGTAACGGAATTGTCGCCGTTGCATGGCTCATATGTTGCGGCTTGGTCAATGGTATCAAGTGACGTTGAACTGCTGAGCTGAGGCTGAGCTAAGCTGAGCTGGGCTGAGGATAAAATACACAATACAGGCACAGTGCACTCTTCCATGCTTGAGTGCTGGATCAGCCCAACACGGGTCCATCCCTCCACCGCAGGAGCTGAACATGCTGACAATCACGCTGGACTCCTTGTACGGGATACCGAGTCGTCTAGAGGAGTCTTGGGAATGCCATGACTACATCACGGCGTTGTTCCTTCCCTTCGAACAGGTGAGAGCTAGGCAACCCAGTTTTGAATTCCAAACGCTTTGTCAGCATTCTTCATCTGTAGCTTATGGTTCTTCCCGCGGATCGTTATGGAGCCAGTTACAGTGAAAAATGGCGAAGGTTTGGCCCTATACGTCATGCTTATGGTAAAGTCTGGACCAAAGGGAATATATATAGCGCCACTGCATGACAAGGTGGCCCCTGATTCTAGAGAAGCAACCAAGTGAGCTGGAAGTTTTGCTTTTTGTTACGTATGTTGGGGGGAGGGGGGCGTAACGCTTTAAGTTGACATTTGAGCGTTCTAAAATGTCGTGCTCTCTGCGGCAGCCAACGCTTGAAGTGCCGGCCGGAGCGCTCACAGGTCGCTTTGTGTTCGTGATGATCTGAGTGATCTAAATGATCTGAAATGGAAAACAGCACTGAAAGCTGCTTTTGAGAGCTTACTCTGCAAATCCTCTTGCGAAGATGCTCCAATGTCTCCAGGATGAGACCTCTTGCTACGTGGCCTCATCTAAGATCAGTTCGTCACTTCATGGAATCATGAGGGTTGACCGCCCAGCTGTGAAGGCTCTGAGACTCTTCGCTAATTTTTAAAGTTCTTTGCATGCCACCGCGGACACGTTCACGATTGACACTGCTCACGATTTTCACAAAGTTCTCACCGTACTGCCACCAGCGACGTACACACAAAAATGCATGCACTTGACAATGCGTTTTAATTGAAAGGTGACACTGTAACCGAGTTGCAGCGACAGCGATTACGATTTCGTTTATCCTGAACATAAGCTATATCACACGCAGGTTTAGTGTCATTGAAGCTTATACGAAGCTTTGAGAATTTTAGGAAAAGTCATGTTTGCAAGAAGATTTTGATGTTACGTTCTCAACAAGTAATATTAAGCACTACCTACCCGCTCTTCCTGAAGCAAAGCCCAAAAAATAATCATTTCTTTTCATAAATTGATGATAAGAATAATGCTGCTTTGCATACATTTTGTAGGTGTCAGATAGCACCTTAATTCAACTTTAATACCGCACTTAAAAGGAATCTCGTTCCATGAGAACAGCGCAAATTGAGCTTTGGTAAGTGTTTTTTTTTGTCGCATTTCTTTCGTCGAACATTTTAGAACACCATGCACTTCCACCAACGTATACCTTGTGCGGCCGCCAGATTCGGGAAAAGGAGGTGTCGGAAGCGTTTTAAGGTAAGTGAACATTTCTCGTGCTTAGGCTGTGATGCACAACTACTGCTAATGCTTTGCAAATATGACACACTAGACTGGTTGGCTGATAACCGCGGTGTCGTTCTGAAATCGATTGGGGAGGGCGGGGGGGGGGGGGGGGGAGCGCGGCTGATATACTTGACCCAAATTGCGAGACATGGCAGACCGATCGAAGGGATGTCCGAAGCAGCTCCAATCATGACTGATGGAGGAGGCGGGTTCTTTGGCCGGGGCAGGATTGAATCTGGTGGGCGGGGATCGGCCTCCACAATTTAGCTGGCGAACCAATCTACGCCCGCAGTACCCACACCACTAAGTTTGGAAGCAAGGTCGCAGCCATAACTTTGTAAGGGAGGGTACGGAGCTCGATGAGTGCGTATCACGCCGATATTTCACTTTCTGAGTAGCCTTCTGTCATCTGTGTTAAAAACAAGACAATGAGTGTCTGAGACTGAGGCCCTTTGTCTGTGCCCATGTTTGGGAAGCACCAGGAGTGCATTGAATCTGCGACAGGTTTCGTGTATTGTATTACACACAGATTTTTCGGCACAACTTTACGGTACTTAACATTATAGCTTATATAGGTGCAGGTCACCCAGAAATAGTCGTCCCTCACATGAGGGGCTGTGCTGCCCGGAAATAGTCTTGCAGATGGGTTCGCGACATGTGTGTTCGATCTTCCTTTGTCTCAAAACTCCCCCGGTGATTCCTGTTGTTGGAACTACCTCCTTGGCCATAGTTTGAAAGCTTGCGCTTTTTATTTCGTGTCCAAGATTTCTGCGGATTTTGGGCGTATTTCGACTCGAGGGTCAGCGAAGGCACTGAGCACTGGCACTGGCACTGAGCAGCCCTGAGGTTTTCGCCAAACTGATCACTACAATAGAGGGCACCAGCTGAGCGCTGGGTGTTTCATTTTTCACGGTTGGTTTCATGTTGCCTCTCCCCCTATTAATATCCATTCTGCGTCATTAACTATTCTGAAGGTCAGTAATATAATCATCTGCAGAGGCAGGTCCAGAGGGGGGGGGGGGGGGGGGGGGGGGTATGGAGCCATGCATTTTTCTTCTTCCATGAACCCTTGGGCCTCACGAGGCTTTGATGCTCCGAGAGAGCGCCAAAACCTCATGTTGACCGGGCACCAAAACCTTCATTTGTGGGCACCACAACTTTTATTTTCAAGTGGCACTAAACCAAAGCGGGACATGTAAAGGTCCCAGTGCCTTTATTTTACAAGAGAACTTAAATCCAGGACACCATAATGGCTTCATCGTTGACTCTGGCAACATTCTGGATTTGTCCGGTTGGTGAAGAAGTCCCAAAAATTTATTTCGAGGTATCATAACCTTCATCGCCCAGGGACACTTAATGCCAATTGGCACAACGCGGGGCCGCAGGACTTCCATTTTCAACATGCAACAAAATCCAAGGGGCACCATAATGCCCGAGCCTTTGCATTGACGAAATCCCCGGACAGCCATTTGGCGAGGGGGCACCAAAACATCGATTTCGGGGTACCATAACATTTTTTTCTAAAGGCACCAAAGTCAAGCGAGCTATTCAGAGAGCCCCGAAGTCTTTATTTCAGGTGGCAACAAATACAGAGGCGCCTCCATTTATCTGACTTGCAACTGGACGAAATCCTGGATCAGCCCTTTCGGCGAAGGACACAAAAAGCTTTCTTTTTGAGGCATCGTAAGATGGCTTTGCAAGGGGCATCCCATTCCAAAGGCACCAAAAAGGCCAGCAAAGCATTTTTCAAATGACGACCAATTCAAGGGCCAGCAAAAATGGCCCTAAGTCTTTCCAGGAGGAGCCAGATACTAACGCTCTCGGGGTTAGTATCGGGGTCAGGGGCCCACGATGAAGGGCCAAATTGAAGGATCGGAAAGACAGGCCGGGGGTCATGCCCAAGGGAGGCAAGCCCTGAGACCTGACCCTAAATGCTAGTCAGAGGGTCTCTTGCAGCAGTCGCAGGCACCTGAGTCAGTGCGTGTCCTATATCAGCTGACTGGGATCACCAATTTCGAACGGTCGGATCCGTGCCGGCCCAGGCCCTCGGAGGTCTTTTCCCAAGCAAAGGCCTGTATATCTGAATCAGAAGGCCTCTGACATGGTCGGACCCCTGAAACAGTGAACGGAGCCCTGTGCTGGTCAGAGGACCACAGTGCCCAACAGGGTACCCTGTGTCGACAATGGGTCCAAAGTCGGCCAGGGGCACATTTCCTCAGCAGCGAGTGCTAGGTGATCTCAACTGTCAAAGTCCTACTGCGTTGACTCCAGACCGTCTCACAGTGATGGCATATGACAATGCAAGGGTTGAATTTCACAATGAGATGGGGTAAAGCCCTTGTGTCAGTCAGAAATCCCAGTACCGAACGAGGAGCCCCTGTTCTATGTCAACCAGCGTTAGCTGCCGGGTGTTGGCTGTGAGGCCAACGCTGCGCAGCTCATGAACAATGTAACTCTGGGCGTCAATCTTCTACCTCCCTAGAATGCGAGCGCACATGCTTAAAACTTGTACGTAATTCTTCGCCGATGGAGGCTACAACAGGATTCTCTTTCCCAGTCGAGAAAGGGTTGGACATATTAGTGTGATTTCTTACCTACTTCGCTCTTCACTGCCGTTCAATCCTCGACGCCCTCATTATCTTTGTAAAACACCGAGCAAATCCCGTAAATGCTCTTTCCGTCTAATAAGTTTGAGGCAAAAAGTCTGAAAGACCAGGGGGACCATTCTGGGGTAATTTGGGAGCGCATTCTTTGCTGCCTTTTCACTAGCAGGCCATTTGTTAACCGTGGTGTCCAGGCTGTGCCTCTGGCCACAGTGTCTATGCATGTCCTTGACGAACTCCCTGAGGTCGGTCCAGGTCAGCACAGCCAATGGGGAGGAGGATCGGCCTCCTAGACCCGTATCTCTTAAATTTTAGTACTGTAGATGGATCCTGACAGAAATTTACAAAACAATCACAGTCAAAGTCATTGATAAGAGCTCTTCCACGCGAAGGTCATTACGAATTCAGTCCCAGTGCTAACACTGAGTTGAATATGCCTGTAATCGAACCAATACAGACGATGTGGGCAAGGCTAAGGTGCGAGTGAAGTGAATTTGCCACTCGTTCGCATGCACGTATGTAACTGGTTATGTATATACAAAATACAAATGTAAAAACGTCGTTCCGCTTTGGCGTGACGAAAAAAAGCCGTTCATCGAAATGATGATTATGTTTTACATTTCAACGGTCTACGGCTTGAAATTTGAATAATTTACCCACGCATGTACCTAGTTGGCGACGGTACTCTTAAGATGGGCGAAAATTGTGTGGGTGTCACATTCCCCAGGTCAAATTCCTGCATTGTTTGTGCATTATTCGTACTTAATAGCAATCCAGGCATCCGGTACAAGGAAAATTTGGCGGATCGCCACGTTATCGATACAAAATATTCCACACATTCCACATAGATTCTCTAATTACCACCAGAGCGTGTATTGCAGCAGAATTCTACGAACATCATTGGCTTCTCCGCTTTTTGCTACAACGAAAAGCGCTTCACCGTGCGTGTCATGCGATGTCACTTAAATCATTACGATTTCGAATTCCTGTACAAGTTACTGCTTTCGCATTTAGCTATCGGTTGTTAGGTCAGCAATCTAAAAAATGCAGCTATGCTGGTTTCATCGTACGTAAGTTAATGATGACTAGTCATTCGAGCCGTGTTATCGTGCCTGTCTTGGTCGTTGTTTATGTGACGGCACTGCCCGGCGGACGGGTCACGGGGTCC